AAGGTTGTATTCCGTCTGGGCTGGGGCTTTATAGGGACCCATTGAAAAAACTGCATTCTTGACTTCAGTAGCTGATACAGGACGGTTGAGCATGGTCATTTCTCTAGGGGATAAACTCGGCAATGATTGGATCATAGCGGGAGGGAGTGGAGATACCGTGTTCAGACTGGCACAATTTCTGAAAATGTTGTATAGCCCTAAGCTGCAATTCCATCCGATCAGTACACCAAGAGCCATTATCATTCTTTAAGGCCATTATTCTATTTCTTTTAGTAGAAGTATGGAAGAAGCGTGTATTAGCATCCCCAAACATGAGCCATTTTGACCGGGACTTCTGCAACCAGAGCACTTCCTTTGGAAGAATTATGCCATTATACTCTTGAGTAAGCTGCGACTCAAGGTGTTCTAGAAACGGGTTAGGGGAAGAGCCCAAGGCATTCTGTATACCATTCAGCCTAGCCAAAACCTTTTTCTTTGTCCAAAATATATTCCCGAAGACTTCTTTGTTCCAAATAGTAACAACATGTACAAAACGATCAATTGTGAGGGGCAAGTTCTTTTCTATAAAACTCCAAGAGTGATGAACTAAATCATTAAAAGTAGGATGAGTCAACCAAGCTGCTTCTATCCGGAATGGACGCTTAGAGTGTTGAGCGACTGTCCCAAACAACGAAATAAGTAAGGAGTAGTGATCAGAGTTTACCCTTGGAAAATGCTGGACCCACGCCTCTGGGAACAAATTCCACCATTAATCAGTGCAAAATGCTTGATCAATTCTTTTCTTAATATTCATGATCCCCTTTCTTCCATTTGTCCATGTAAAATTCAGTCCTGAAAAGCCTAAATCCGTTAAATGATGCCTGTTGGTGTTTTCCCAAAACACATTCATTTGCCGCTGAGATGAAGGAGCACCCCATGTTTTTCTGAATTAGACATGATCTGGCTGAAATGACCAGCCACCAACCACGGTAAAGGGAGCCCACAAGGTACCCCCGCGAGGTAATCCCAAATCCATGTTTTTTTGCTGCTTGATTTTCTTAGCAATTGCTAATCTTTTCCTTAGAAATGATATTTTCTTGAATAAAGGGACTCAAGTTCAAGTCTTCTTACCTATTAAAAAGATATAGTTTGGATATGTTCTTCTCTATGTTGCCTGGAAGCAAAGAAGCATGGATACGACACGGACATGTCGACACGCCAATTTTCAAAAAATATAAGATACGGCATGTGGGAACCACACATAAAATATATAATTTTATATATTTATTATATGTTATATATATATGAATATATCATTTAAAGATAATAAAAATGTAATACGACACTAATTTTTATAAATTTAGATGGTTTTTTGTTTTCTTATTATAAAATAACGCCTAATTAGTACATATTAATGTGTGTTTTATTATTATATCGTAAGTTATTTTGTTCGAACTTATAATTAGTTTCACCCGTGTCTAATCCATAGCCACGTGTGTTTATGTGATAGATATGTGTGTCCTCCAAGTGTCCAAAGAGTGTCCGGATCTTTAAACATATTTCTATGAATATTATTACCCATTTTTTTACATTTATTCCTACCAAAACTTTACTCCCTAGACTTCCATTCAATATTTGATTTTTTTTCTTTTCTAAGAAACCTTTCAAAAAATAAATTGGAAATAATTTCGGGATCACTAAATTTATAATTCTCAAATAAAAGTGTACCATGTTTTGAATAGACGTTCCAAAACATAAATCTTAGCGATTTCTGGTAACACTGGTTTCTCTCTATTAGAAACCTATAGTAGTTATGCTTCCATTGCTTAATGTTGGAAAGGGTGGAGTATAGTGCACAATAAGCTGGAAAATAGTGTAGTTATTTGAGGTCTTGATATGTTAGGTCATGTTTGATTCACAAGAGTAATAGTGAAGTATTAATAATCCTATTAAATTAGTGTGGTATTCACTATCCAATTGGATTAATATCCATTGGATTAATAATCCTACCCCTACCCCATTACTAATAATCCTACAAATTTGTTGGATTAATTATCCATTGGATTAATAATCCTAAACCAAAATGCTAAAACAAACATAGGATAATTGGGCCCACGGATTAATAATCCCAATCCCATACTCTAATCCACCCAATCAAACATGCCCTTAATGTACTATAATTGGAATGAACAATAGCCTTGGAGGAAATATATTCTGTGCCTTGTAGAAAATTTCTATCATGGATGGTCATTTTTCTTTGTTTATATGATGATTGTTGAGAACAGAGACATGAGTTTAAGAGTGCAGGTTATTACATTCTTTGTTTTCAGAAAACAGTTCAAAATTGGAGGAAACAATAAAAATGTGTTTTCAAACAATTTTTCATTTCCTCCTCCTTCCCTCACCAGTTTAACCAACCCCTCCGGCCACCCCCTCCCTATGGTGAATTGATAATTAAAAAATGAATATGCTAAAACCTACAGACACCGAATCAACTCAGAAAGTCTTTTCTTTTGATGTTGGAATGCCTCTTTGTCATGAAATCTTTATAATTAGCTTTTTTCCCCTCTTTCACTGTTTGATCTACAGAAAAAGGAAGATGGGAAACAAACATATTTAGGATTATCCTAAGAAATTAAAAAAAATTGTCGATCTTCCCCACCCCTTTGCTGATGCCCCTATTGGACCAGGCAACATACAAGAAATTTGTTGGCTTGTAAGTATTTCAAGCCATTGAGATTAATAATTGTTGTGTGGTGTCACCTTGACCCAGGTGGTTAATACTCGGCTATGAAGCACCGTCAATTCAAAATGGGTGCCAGGTTCGTGTCAAACACCGACACACCGGAACACGTATCAATTTTTTTAATTATTTTTTTAATAAGACACTTCACAGACATATGTGTCTTGTGTTTGGACACACCTCAGGACACTTTTGTGAGTTTATTTTTTATAATTTTAGAAAGCTGATTGAGTTCATTTTTTCCAAAATTGTTGTCCCGTATCTGTGTTTCTTAGATACTTGGAATTTTTGTTTAAAATATAAAGACTAGTATTTTATTTGAGTTTTTATTATCATGGACAAAATTCTTGCCACTGAATATGATGGAGCATTGTTGGATCAGGCATTATTCAAGAAAGGAGTGAGTGAAGTTGACGCAGAGAAGGCAATAAACTTGGTTTTTCAAGACAGCGATCAAGAATCAAGACACGGCTTGTCTAAAGTCTCGATGGATCATTTATTTGTTCAGGCCTCAAAGCAGTGGCTCCGTGGTCGAGATGTTACCAACGAAACACGGAAATCAAGGATTGTTCGGTGGCTTCAATATCGCGGTTTCAACTGGGGTGTTATTAGCTCCATCTTGAAAAAGCTAGAATCCGAGAACCCCCCTTAGAGAGCATATCTGATTCTTTTGCCTTTTATGAACTATGTGGTCGGTCCTGTTTCAGATGATCGCTGACTTCAGACCCACCCATCATTTTTGTCATGCATTCCACATTGGGACACTACCAACCAATAGTTCCAGTTGGGCCTCCACTTGGATAAATTGCTTTCTTGTCAGCCTACCCAGTGCCAACCAGGTCTGAAAACAGAAATGTTGTGACACTAGGGTGCTATTCGTGGGATCAATGGGCATCGTCACTGAAACCAGAGTTTACACCAATTCATGTCTGTAAGTACAATGTTACTGGAACACCCTTAAATCTGTTAATGCTCTGTCTAGTCATTGATGTGTAATTGTATAGCAAAACCCACTATTTATTGTGGCAATTAGGGCATATATTAGTATCATTTGGTCCATATAGTTCATTTGGATCTCTAACTTACCCTTATTGATGTGCTTGTACAGCAAAACCCACAATTTATAATGGGCAATTAGGGCATACATAAGAATCATCGGATCTATATAGTTCATTTGGATGCATAAATTTCTGTGTGTGAATCAATATGGAGACATTACTGACTTACCATTGTTGTGATGAGCTTGGTTTTACAGTACATTCATGTTGTTTCAGTGTAAATTAAATATGCTTTTGACCTGATTGTACATGTTATCTGAATTAGATAGTGCAAAGTCTTGTAGATCAACAAGATTGGAAAAAAGGCTTTTCAATTACTGGAAAGTCCTACACTGAAACATCACATGAACAAGTGATGTGAGGAGGGTAGGACCATGTGAGCACTGCTGGAATGGCTGGCTGAGAGAGAGAGAGAGAGGGGTAAAGTGAATATGGGTTGACTTGGAAAAAGACAGCAAATCCAAACCAATTCCCTAGATAAATGCTTCAAATCTGTACTGGCACATATAGGGTTGATTTGGAACGTGGGTTAACCTTTTGGTTTTTTTTGAGTTATTTTAGTCGGTGGCTAAAAAGTTTCGTTTGGGATGAGTTTTTTTGGCTTTTTTAATTTTTGTGAGAGAAAAAATAAAATAATTATGATTTAAATGTGATATTTTGTCTTATTAATTTTTTAGTTTATTTTGTCTTTTTGTGATTGTTTTAGTCCTGTTCCTAAACGAATGCAAAGCCTCAAAGAAATCTCGCACACTCCCTCTATTCTTCCCTTCCTCCTCGTATTTGAACGAGTAGTAACGGTATGTACTCAGAAAAAATAATTAAGTACGCAAAATTTAAAATGTGGATCAAATTTAATTTGAAGGTTCATTTACCCAATATTTTTTAGTAGCTATTTTTATTTTTTTTTTACCTTTTTAAGATAAAGTTGCCAAATTAGTTGATGTGTTTGCAAATGCTTATTTATTTATTTTTTTGTGTTATTAGGAAAGTTTAAGTAGGGTTTCAATTTTTTTTTTCAGTAAACGTTTTTTTGTTTTTGTTTTACTTTTATATCTTTTTACACTAAAAAGACTTCAAAAGTAAATAAAAATTTTACAAAAAATAAGAAAAAAAATTTGACTTTTTAGCATTTGCCAAATAAGGTGAATTTTGTTGAACAACAAAAATATTTTTAAAATAACTTCTCTTTTTTATGTTGTTGAAACCAAACACAGCCTAAATTGGGTCCACTATCAAATTGAAATCCACATTATAAATTTGAATTCTAGAGACTTTTTAAATGTCTTTTCTGAGTACAAAATAATGCTGCTTTTACAATCGTCATCAACTGTTGCATTTTTTTTTTATTTTTTATACATCCCTTAATACAAATTTAATACAATAGTAGTTATTCAATCTACAACCAGATACAAAACACAAAATTACACTTTTCCTGCTAGATAATATGATTGACATGGAATTACTATATTTTCTCCTCTAATATCCCTGCCCTGCCCTGCCCTGCCCTAAAGGATTGTACTGTACTACTGAATATGCACAAAATTGGTAGCATTTCCATTGAAACCTCAATTAGATTGAATCATCAGAGAAGGCAAAAGAACAGTTAGAAGATCCAATTCCCTCGAAAACCACATTCCGAGCAGGTGGCGATGCATGCACATCCAACAAACCTCCTTTCAAGAATTTTGACTCCGGTCTTACAGGATCAGCGTGCCGAATCTCCTTGAGCATCGCGGCAACATCCTTCATCATAGGACGGTCGTGGGCCCGCATGCTGACACAGAGGAATGAAACTGCCAGTGTTTGGAGCATTTCATGGACGTGTGGGTCAGCCATGCCTCTGAGCTTTGGATCAAGAATGTCAACAGGGTCACCCTTTGAGTGCAAGTGGTCTCTGACCCACTGGACCATGGGTGCACCCCCAGGCAATGTTGGGTCTAGTGGGTGCTTTCCTGTCAACACCTCCAAGAGAACTACACCAAAGCTGTATACATCGCTCTTCTCAGTGATTTTTTGTATTGAAGCATGTTCTACAATACCCAAAACAAAAGCAAAATTGGTTAATATAAAAGGAACTAGTAATTGAAAAACAGAGCGACAGATCTTCTTTCTCCAAATTTCTCTGTTAACTGTCTCAAAACACTTAGGCTGCATTTGTTCGGACAGATTAGGCCATGGAATCGGAAATATTGAGCCCTGAAGAGGAGTTTGGATACAAAATGAGAGGATTAAAGGAGTTCCAATTATGGGATTAAAAAACTAAAATATCCTCATATTATGGTTATTACACTATGTAATCTATGTCTAGTGATTCAAAACAAAATAGTAAATGATAGGGTTCTACTAATCTCCTCCTAATCCAGGAACATTTCACATGTGGGATAAAAATACATATATCTAAGGGATTGATAATCTAGTCTAACAAAACAAACATGGTAATAATCATTACATCATGTAAAAATCGCGAGACACAATTGAACAATTGTGAGTGTCTTAAAATTGGGAACGAAATATCCCGTGATAAGCTGATGTATAATTGGTTTTTGAGTAATTTACCTGGAGCCATGTACCCATAAGAACCAGCAAGAACAGGCCTCTGACTCTGCTTTGAGCAATCACCATCACCATCACCACCATTGACAAGCCTAGCCAGCCCAAAATCAGCCAAGTATGGTTCAAAATGAGGACCTAACAACACATTCATAGCCTTGACATCACCATGTATAATTGGAGGCACACAATCATGGTGCAAGTATGCTAAAGCATGTGCCACTCCCAACACCACATCATATCTAGTCTCCCACTCTGCTCCACCCTTTCCGGTGGCGGCACCGCCACCGTGTAGGGCTGAGCTTAGGCTTCCATTAGGAAGGTAGTCATAGAACAACAGTTTCAAATTCCGGTTTGAGCCCCAACCCAAAAGGCGAACAATGTTCCGATGTCTGATTGATCCAAGTGTTTGAATTTCTGAAGAGAACGAACATCCTGATTCCTCTGATCCCCACATTTTCTTCACTGCCAGTGTTTCTCCACTAGGAATTGTCACCCGGTAGACCACGCCGGAGCTTCCGGTTCCTATCACGTTTGCTGACGTCAAATTCCGGGCCACGTCATCAATGGAAAAATCCATTTTTTGATACAATATCAATTCCCATGTTTCGCCTTCCGTGGACCCGTGGTGGGCCCAACAGGCCTTAACCAACATGTAAACTGCAAGTAGGACTAGTACCGCACTGGTGCTGACTAGGATCGTCATCGCTAGCTTCATAGTTGACCTGACGTGTCCAGTGGGACCCATTCTGTCCGCGGGGGTTGCAATCCCGCCACCACCGGGGATGTATAGGGCACTGTTTCCAACAAGGTCGGTGATCGGGAGTTTGCGAAAGAACGGGGTGTTGGGCAATTCACCGGAGAAGTCATTGAACGACACATTGAGGGAGACGAGGTTTTGGAGGCTCGCGAGGGCGGTTAAGTTTCCAGCGAGGTTATTGTGGGAGAGATCAAGGATTGCAAGCTTGGTTAAACCTGAGAATTCAGGTGGGATTTCGCCTTTGAACTGGTTACTACTTAGATTGAGAGCGATTGATAGCGATGGAATTTGACCCAATTCTTTCGGAATATCGCCTGAGAAGCCATTGTTCCCGAGATCAAGCATTTGAAGCTTGGAACAAGACAGGATCTCTGCTGGAAACATCCCGGAAAGTTGGTTCTTCCCGAGATTGAGTTTCGTTAATTTGGTTAATGAACCGACACTAGGTGTTACTGGACCAGTAAGCCTATTGTCTGAAAAGTCGACAAATTGTAGACTTTCGGGCAAATTATCAGGCAGAGAACCGGTCAGCCCATTCGAATGGAGATCAAGATACTCGAGATTCTCACATCCGGAAATCGAGCTAGGAATTCCCCCTAAAAACCGGTTTTTACTCATGTCAACGAAATTCAAATTCCTCAAATTTCCAACCTCCAATGGAATAGTACCCGAAAGCCTATTGTCGTTCACTCGAAACCTATACAAGTTTGTGCAATTTCCAATGTCAGGCGGTATAAAACCCGATAAATCATTGGAAATCAGCAGCAACTTTGTCAAATTCTGCAATGAGAAAATTTGTTTTGGTATGGTACCAAAGAGGGTGTTATAGGACAGATCAAATGCCTGAAGATTCTCACAATTAGATAGAGTTTCTGGAATTTTACCGGTTAGTTTGTTCTGCCAAGCGAAGAACAAAGTCAAGTTTCTTAACTTTCCAATCGAAACAGGAATTTCCCCGGAAAATTCATTGTTATCGAGCTCTAAATGAGTCAAACTCGAGCAATTCATGAGTTCTAAAGGAATAGTACCTGTCAACCGGTTAACACTGAGCTGAATCACTTGAATCCTTGAAAGATTTCCAAGACTAGTGGGTATGGTTCCAGTAAGAAGATTATCCGACAAATCAAGAACCGCGAGCTCTTTTAGACTTCCGAGTTCATATGGGATTGATCCGACTATTGCGTTCTGCCATAACAACAAGCTTTGAAGTTTTCTCAACTCCACAATTCGACCCGGGATTGAACCAGAGATTGAATTCTGATACAAGTAGAGCTTTTGAAGCTCAGTGCAATTCCCAATCTCTTCCGGGATTGGACCTGTCAACATTGCTGTGTAGATTGCTATGGTTTGAATTCTCTTCAACATCCCAATTGATGAAGGAAGATTCCCTGAAATGCCAGTCTCAGCAAGGCCTAACATGATTAAATTGGAGCAATTTCCAATCTCCCATGGAAGCTCACCTTTCAGATTCTCATTCCCGCCAGCTCGTAAAATCTCCAAATTTCTCAAATTCCCGATACTCCTCGGAAACTCGCCATTTAATTTATTATCGTATAGCGTGAAGTACACAAGACTCGAAAGATTTCCAATCTCATAAGGAATTTCGCCTTCGAAATAATTCATGTTGAGTGATAAACTTTGCAATCTTACTAATTTGCAAATTTCAACCGGGATTGCGCCCGAGAGAAAATTATCACTGATGTCCATGACAACAAGCTGATTGTAATCTCCAAATTGTTTTGGGATTGGTCCACTGAGATTGGTTGATGAGAGGATAAGGGTATTCAAGAACTTGAGAGGTTGGAGATTTGAAGGCAATGAGCCTTGCAAATCTACTGATTTCAAGCTTATTTTGATCACATCTCCATTGGAGTTGCAGTGAATCCCAACCCAGTTGCAGGGTGTTTGGTCTGAGGAAACCCATGATTTGAGTGGATTTGTTGAGCTGGTTAGAGTGGTTTTCCATGTGAGAAGAGCTTGGCCTTGTGCATCAATGGAGGAACAAGAAGAGAAGAAGAGAGAGTGTATGGAGAGGAGGAGAGTGATGGAGAAGAAGAGTGCAGGCATTGCAGAGAGGGAAGAAGAGTCGGTCTTTTTTTGGGGATTGGAGGGACAGGAGGGGGGGAACCCCATGTTTTGTTTATAGATTAAAAGCAGAAGACCTGGATCCAATAAAACAATCTCTTTATTATATATATATATATATTGAGTAACGATATATAAATAAAAAATTTATAAATAATTTTTATAGATGATTATTTAGTTGTTCGGAATATCATATGACATTATTTATATAGTGCTTCAAACAAATGACGTAACATAAAACTTTATGGCAGATATACCAACTCATCACTTACTTAGAAGGTGTTTTGATTTTTTATTTATCGAAAATATTATGTAAATAATCATACATGATATTTTGATAGTATTTAATAATTTTTTAATTATTATGGATTGTTTTGAAAAAATAGTTAAAAGTTAATTTTTTAGTTTTTTTTTTTAAATGTATAAAAAACTATAAAGATAATGTGATCAAAAATAAATTAAAAATTGAAAAATGGCTATTAACTATATAAAATAATGTGACTTGATGTAAATCTTTTATTTTAAAACCGAAACATTCGTGAAGGTGATTTGTAGTTATTCTTATAACCCTAAAAAACAACTATTATTATGTTCGGTATTGTTGTAAATTGAGAGACGGTGATGCAGTTGAGCTATTTTGGATTTTATAGATGCATATGTGGGTATTCTGTGGGTTCTTTGTTTCTGCATTCAATAAATGTGTAGGTGGAATTTGGATTTTGCTTTGTGGATGAAATTTGTGTTTGGAAGTTTTTGCACACAAATTTGAGTGGCTTTTTTATTTTATTTTATTGGAACTCACAATGAGAAACAAAACAAAATTCCATTATGATGTCATTTTGCTATCGTTTATTATTATCATATCACTTGTGTTATGAATGAGATAAAATAATATATTTTTTAATAAAAATATAATAATTATATTTAACTTTTTTATATTTTGTAAGATAAAAAAAAAATCAATAATTTTAGAATGAGGGTTTGAAACTTCTAGAAGGTAACTCCCTTTATAAGATTCATTTTATATAAGTGAAACAATTCATTTTTTCTTTCTTTTCCCGACGTGGGATTGTAACTTTATATAAGTGAAATAACTCATTTTTCCTTTTTTTTCTCGATGTGGGATTGTAATTATTTTAAAATTAAATATTATGAGAGTTTCAAAATCACATACAAAATTATTTTTAAAATCAAAACGTCTATGTAGGATTGTAAAATAAAAATTAAATGGAAGCTAACTAATGGAGATTTTCTTAATTATTTAAAATTAAGAAAATAAAAAAAATGAGCATAAAATATTGATCATAGGGCTTCTTATTGAAAATCTCATTTTGATTATATAAATGGGAGCATAAGATTCACTTTATGTAAGTGAAACAATTCACTTTTTCTTTCTTTTTCCGATGTGAGATTGTAAAATAAAAAGTAACTGGAAGGTAGCTAACGGGAATTTTCTTAATTGTTTAAAATTAAGAAAATTCAATAATTTTAGAACAAAGGTTTGGAGCTCTTAGAAGGTTTCTCCTTAAAAATTTCATTTTCCTTATATAATATATAGATAGATAATGAAACAAACTTTGTTGTTTCTTCTTCTCCTGTAGCGGGATTATAAAATAAATCATAAACTAATTAAAATTTTATTTTTATGTGGTTAAATGGAAGTTAGCCAATAATTTTTTTTAATTGTTTAAAATTAATAAAATTAGAATGAGAAATCGCGATTAAACCGGCAAATCAATCAAATTCAAAATGGTTCAACCTGATCAGTTAGGTCAAATGACCAAACAACTTATAAAAAAATTAATTAATTAAAAATTTTAAATGTTATTTTAATTTTAAAATTTAAACTATTTTGAATTAAAGTATACACAATACTATACTATTACGATTCACTTTATATAAGTGAAACAACTCTTTTTTTTTTCTTCTCTTTTTCAGATGTAGGATTATAAAATAAAAATTAACAATTATTTGGACAGAAAATTTATTTCTAATCAAACAATCTCAGTCTTTCAATCTTTAATGAGATCAATCTTTAGTTTATTTCAAATCAAACAAATCAATCAACTTTTGATAAAATTGCTAAAATCACAGTTAAACTAACAAATCAATCAAATCAAAAATGATTTAGTCTAATCGGCTAAGTTATAATTAATTAATTAAAAAATTTTAAAATTTAAATTATATTGAATTGAAACATGCACAACACTACAACATCAAATAGGATGAGAATATAAGGTTCACCTTATATGAGTAAAATAACTATTTTTTTTCTCCTTCTTTTCCCGATTGGGATTATCAAATAAAAATTAGTCAATGGAGATTTTCTTAATTATTTAAAATTAAGAAAATTCACTTTATATAAGTAAAACAATTCAGTTTTTTCTTTTTTCCCGATGTAGGATTGTAAAATAAAAGTTAAATAGATGTTAACCAATGAGGATTTTCTTAATTGTTTAAAAGAAAGAAATTTTAATAATTTATATAAATTGGAACATAAGATTCACTTTATATAAATCAAACAATTCACTTTTTTCTTTTTTTCCCCAATTTGGGATTGTAAAATAAAAGATAAATGGAAGCTATCCAATGGAAATTTTTTTAATTGTTTATTGTTTAAAATAAAAAAAAAATCAATAATTTTAGAATGAGGGTTTGAAACTTCTAGAAGGTAACTTCTTTTATAAGATTCATTTTATATAAGTGAAACAACTCACTTTTTCTATATTTTCCCAATGTGGGATTGTAAAAGTGGAACAACAAATTTTTTTCTTTCTTTTCTCGATGTGGGATTGTAATTTTATTGAGGTTAAATATTATGAGAGTTTCAAAATCTCATACAAAATTATTTTTAAAACCAAAACTATGTAGGATTGTAGAATAAAAGTTAAATGAAAGCTAGCTAATGGGGATTTTCTTAATTGTTTAAAAGTTAACAATTGTTTAGGCCGGAAGTTTATTTCAAATCAAGCAATTTTAGCCGTTTAATCTTTAATTAGGTCAATCTTTAATTTATTTCGAATCAAACAAATTTAACCAATATATTTTGATAAAAATCTTTAATTAGGTCAATCTTTAATTTATTTCGAATCAAACAAATTTAACCAATATATTTTGATAAAACTGCTAAAATCGCAATTAAACCAGCGAATCAGTCAAACCGAAAACGATTTATCCTATCGGCTAAGTCAAAGGACCAACCAACTTATACAAAAATCAATTAATTAAAACTTTTAAATTTTATTTTAATTTTAAAATTTAAACTGTCTTGAATTGAAACGTACACAACATTACAATATTAAATAGGAGCATAAAGTTTATATAGTGAAACAACTCATTTTTTTCTTCTTTTCCTGATATGAGATTGTAAAATAAAAGTTAACAATTGTTTGGACGGAAAGTTCATTTCTAATCAAACAATTTCAATCGTTCAATCTTTAATAAGGTCAATATTAATTTATTTCAAACCGTGGTTAAACCAGTGAATCAGTCAAATCGAAAACGATTCAGCCTAATCGGTTAAGTTAAAAGACCAACTAATTTATAACAAAATTAATTAATTTAAACCTTTAAATTTATCTTGAACTGAAACATGCACAATAATATAATATTAAATGAGAGTATAAGATTAATTTTATATAAATGAAACAACTTACTTTTTTTTCTTTTCTCGATGTAAGATTGTAATTATTTTAAAATTAAATATTATGAGAGTTTCAAAATATCATACAAATTATTTTTAAAATGAAAACGTCTATGTAGGATTGTAAAATAAAATTTAAATGGAAACTAACCAATAGAGATTTTCTTAATTGTTTAAAATTAAAAAAATCAAAAAAAAAAAATAGTATTGATTAAAGAGCTTCTCACTAAAATTCTTCTTTTACTTGTGTAAATGGAAGCATAAAATTCACTTTATATAAGTAAAACAATTCAGTTTTTTCTTTTTTCCCGATGTAGGATTGTAAAATAAAAGTTAAATAGATGTTAACCAATGAGGATTTTCTTAATTGTTTAAAAGAAAGAAATTTTAATAATTTATATAAATTGGAACATAAGATTCACTTTATATAAATCAAACAATTCACTTTTTTCTTTTTTTCCCCAATTTGGGATTGTAAAATAAAAGATAAATGGAAGCTATCCAATGGAAATTTTTTTAATTGTTTATTGTTTAAAATAAAAAAAAAATCAATAATTTTAGAATGAGGGTTTGAAACTTCTAGAAGGTAACTTCTTTTATAAGATTCATTTTATATAAGTGAAACAACTCATTTTTTCTTTCTTTTCCCGATGTGGGATTGTAACACTTTATATAAGTGAAATAACTCATTTTTCCTTTTTTTTCTCGATGTGGGATTGTAATTATTTTAAAATTAAATATTATGAGAGTTTCAAATCACATACAAAATTATTTTTAAAATCAAAACGTCTATGTGGAATTGCAAAATAAAAGTTAAATGGAAGCTAACTAATGGAGATTTTCTTAATTATTTAAAATTAAGAAAATCAAAAAAATGAGCATGAAATATTGATCATAGGGCTTCTTATTGAAAATCTCATCTTGATTATATAAATGGGAGCATAAGATTCACTTTATGTAAGTGAAACAATTCACTTTTTCTTTCTTTTTCCGATGTGAGATTGTAAAATAAAAAGTAATTGGAAGGTAGCTAACGAGAATTTTCTTAATTGTTTAAAATTAAGAAAATTTAATAATTTTAGAACAAAGATTTGGAGCTCTTAGAAGGTTTCTCCTTAAAAATCTCATTTTCCTTATATAATATATAGATAGATAATGAAACAAACTTTATTGTTTCTTCTTCTCCTGTCGCGGGATTATAAAATAAATCATAAACTAATTAAAATTTTATTTTTATGTGGTTAAATGGAAGTTAGCCAATAATTTTTTTTAATTGTTTAAAATTAATAAAATTAGAACGAGAAATCGCGATTAAACCGGCAAATCAATCAAATTCAAAATGGTTCAACCTGATCAGTTAGGTCAAATGACCAAACAACTTAGAAAAAAATTAATTAATTAAAAATTTTAAATGTTATTTTAATTTTAAAATTTAAACT